GGAGCTCAACCGGCTGGCGGCACGCGTGGACTTCTGCCCCGTCCTGCAGGTCTTCTTCCCCTTCAGCATCCAACTCTACCCCCGCGAGTTCCCCGGCCACGACCCCCGCGACTGCCCCCGCGACGTGGGCAAGGCGGCGGCCCTGCGCCTGGGCTGCATCAACGCCGAGTACCCCGACTCCTTCGGGCACTACCGCGAAGCTCGCTTCTCCCAGACCAAGCACCACTGGTGGTGGAAGCTGCATTTCGTCTGGGAGCGGGTGCGGGCGCTGCGGGAGCACGCCGGGCCCGTCCTCTTCCTGGAGGAGGACCACTACCTGGCCCCTGACTTCTACCACGTCCTCAAAAAGCTCTGGGCCCTGCGCGAGCGGGAGTGCCCCGAGTGCCAGATCGTCTCCCTGGGCACTTACAGCCCCATCCGTGGCGGCTTTGCCGGCCGCGCCGACAAGGTGGAGATGAAGACGTGGAAGTCCACCGAGCACAACATGGGCATGGCCTTCGGCAGAGACACCTACCAGAAGCTCATCGAGTGCACAGATGCCTTCTGCACCTACGATGACTATAACTGGGACTGGACTCTGCAGCACTTGACTGTCTCTTGTCTTCCAAAGTTCTGGAAAGTGCTGGTTCCTGAAATCCCCAGGATTTTTCACACGGGCGACTGCGGCATGCATCACAAGAAATCCTGCAGACCGTCCACCCAGAGTGCCAAAATCGACTCTCTCTTGAACAGCAACCAACAGTACCTGTTTCCTGAAACGATGAGTGTCAGTAAAAGGTACTCCATGGCACCCCTTTCCCCTCATGTGAAAAACGGAGGGTGGGGAGATATTAGGGACCATGAACTCTGTAAAAGTTACCGCAGACTCCAGTGAGGATCACTCTCGCAGCCTTTTTTCTTTTTGAGTTGTTCCGTACTGTCTTTTACAGGCACACACGTGTATAAAAAGCATTTATGAGTTGGTTTCTGCTTTAATATGAATAAACATTCTTGTAAAAGGTGTCCCAAAATAGTAATCTTTCATGTTCGGCAACCATGTTTTGGAAACGGGTTACTTGCTGCTGCCAGGCTGCTTAGAGCAGCGTCGCAGCCCCTACGCAAAAAGTGCCCGCTGCTGTGTTTACTGGGAGGAGAAAACTTGTGTTTAAGTGCATCTTTTCTGGTGCTTACAGTGCTCTGGTGTGTGGGGGGGTCCCCCCATCAGGGGCAGAGCGGTGGTGCCTGCGGTGCCGTGCTGGGGTGGAGAGGAGCGAGCGAGGGGACGGAGCCCGGTGGGAGCCGGGCGTCGCAGACCACCTCCACCGGCACCTCCCGCTGGCCATCCCGCCCGGGGTCACCTCATGCCCGATACCTGCGTCCTGGTTTGGTTGCAATGTGTTGATGAATATATGAAGGAAAAAAAATATGAATCATTGTTTTTACTGCAATGTAGATAAATATATGATTTTTTTAGTTCTGCCAAAATAAAATTCAGTTGTTTTGTAATACCGGAGAAGTTCTTGACTCTCACAAAAAGATGATGTCATCCTAGTGTTGCTAGAAAGTCAGGACTGGGGCTGGGGCGGGTGTCTTCTCTTTAATCCAGAGGGCTGAACACATGCCATCACCCTTTCTAGTAATATGCATTTAACTTCATTACATTTTTAATGATACTTGCTAATTGAGGCAGAATAGAGTAACAAACATGTGGCACGACACCTCTTTTGTTTGGCTCCAAAAAAAGTTTGCTTTCAAATTAGTCGGCTGTGTAAAGCCACCAGTAAAAAATACTGCTGTGTAATGGAAATACACTGAGCCGGAGCTGAAAGCCATGAGCGGGAGAGAGCAGAGCCGTTCGTTACCATCGAACATTTCCTCGCCTGTTTTAAGTCTAGCGGTACGGCTGCTTTAATGGCACTCCACTTTGAATTACAACTGGTAGCAGTAGCACCTAAGCAGCTTTTTGAAGAACAGAGAAGTACGTTAGAGAAAGAAAATGCTACGCTAACGTGACAGACATGAAATATTGAGAGGTAGATTTTATGCTGAGAGAGTTGGAGGAAAAAAACTCCAAACTTCATTTTTTTTAATTGGAGAAAATGGGGTTGGTCCTCTTAGAACTGTGGCTGCAGCAGTTGCTCTGCCTGGAAGGGCGCGTCACAAGGTTTTCCTTTTACCACCATTTGTCACCTGCTTTATGGGTTGTGAATCCATCAGTTAAACATTCATTTGAGAGAGAGCCAAGTTTTGTGAAGGACCCTAAGTACAACGCAGATGTTTATTTTGACCGCGAGGCTCTTTTTTTCCAGGGGTAATTTAACTGCTGTGATTTTGTACCAGCTTCAGTACTTGCTCTGTTTTCACAGTTTCACAAAGTCAGGGCTGATGCTGCAGAAGCTGCGCCTGTGCCTCAGCCCTGCGCTACCTCCCCCCAGGAGCTGCGCGAGTGTGCAATGGAGCTGATCAGGGTGAAATGTAACCCCACAAACCACGCACCCTCCTCCAGCCCAGCCGGGTCGGTGCTGTGCTGGGCAGATGCTTTTGGCAGCTGTGGCTGCCACCAAACTGACACAAGTAAAACTTCCATCACATACCCCCACTGGAAGCACTCCCATTTAACAGAGAAATGCAAGAGTAATTCCAGAGCAGCTGTGAAACAGGTCAAATGCTTCTAAAGCACATTTGTGTCTTACACCACGCAAAAGAGAAGTTATTTCAGAAGCGATGAGAAAGGGAACTGAAAGTTTATTATTATTAGATATGTTCTTTTGGTTATCGCACTTTAGAGATGGACCAGCAAACAGGACACTGAAGCTCGTGGGGAACTGTTTCTGAAAAGTAAATCTAATCTGGGTAAAGTCAATGTATTTTACAAATGGTAAATACGTAGTAGCAGACATGCAACAAGAGACGATGTTTTTATTGTGCAATTGAATTTGTTCGGTTGACAGCCTGGGGTATGGTTGGATGCTGTGTTCTGAAGTAATGTACTAGGATGGAATGCATGGTATACACGTTGATTATTTCTAGGAGACTAATTAGAACTTCTCCCTGTAATTAGAAATTTCATTTGATTGCTAAAAATCAGCGCAAGTCTAATCCTGCAGTTATCACAAAATGAAAGGTTTGGAAAATGATGAATACTGCTCATTTCTAGGTGGACTAAACGCAACAATTCTTGAGGGAGCCATTAGAAAAAGGATATGTACAAATACTCCCTGTAATGTAGCAGGAGACTAACAAAGTTATGTAAACAATAAAGATGCATTTTCTTCCACCAGCTCAGTTTCACCTTCAACTGCATCTTTCTTGTAAGTAAAACTATTTGAGCCTATACATGTGATCAGAAAACTCAGACCTGTTAACTTCAAAAATTATTAACTTTATTAATTTTAAGTTGCTGTGTAAACGAAACAGTTTCAGGAGGAACCTGTGTTCTACTCTTAGCCCCGAAGTCATAAACCACCATGTGGAAGTCACAGTAAGTATCAAACAACAGAAGGAAATCCTAAAATAATTAAACTAGTCCAATTCGTACAGCAAAGAATTCTGAAACGCAACCGGGCAGCGCGTTACGTGATCCCTAACGATCTGCACGCTCCCATCCTGGCTGTTCACTTCTTGGAGAACTGGGGAGGCTGGTCTGCTGTCCCAGCTGCACTGGTTCCCGGGTGCCGACCCTGCAGGCGCAGCCGCTTCACCCCCTTCCTCTTCTGCCTGCCCCTCCAGCAGAAGGCCACCCTGCTTCTCAGAGGCTGCGACCACGGCCGTTTCGCCTACTGTGACAGCACTTTCTAAATCAGGTTCCTTTCTCCTAGATTCGCCAGGAATCGCTGAAGTGGTGTCGGAGGGTTCATACTGCAAACAATGGTGTGAACTACAACCCACTTTTCCTATTGTTTCAGCTGTTGCAAAAGATGTGGAAGTTTTGTTGGTTTCGGTAACACATTCTCCTTCAGCTGTGTCAGCTGCAGTACAATTTGTTTCTGCCTTCGTTTGGGGGTAGTCACCGCTTGTCTTTTCAGCGAGATCGCCTCCTGAGCTGCTGAGCGTTTCTTCTTTTCCATCATGTTCAGAATGGACTGCTTCCTGTGGCTGTCGAGAAAATAAATGAATTATTTTATAGTTGGAACGGACTGGGCACACAAAACCGCTGTAAAGACAGGCCAAGACACTTGTTTCTCCAACGTCTACTTCAGAAAGCCAAGTCAGTCCGGTGCTGAGGTTTTCCTGCTCTCGGACCGCGCGTGGGAATGAGTGGCAGGGAGGTTGTTGGCCTCCCGAGGGTTTCCTCTGCAATAGGAAACGCTGCTGGGCAGCTGCCAAGTGGCCACAGCCTCTGTCGCAATTAACAGCGGGGAAGACTGGCGATTCACCACGCCCAGGCTGTTGTTTCGAAAATTCAGGGGCCACAAAATCAGCCAAGGGATCTAAATTCTTATTGCAAGATGTTTGTTTTAATGTTGCAATTAGGGAAATTGCTGTCCCATCAGATGTGGAAGGTGTAACTGGTAAGTGAGCTGTCCTCCTCACTCAGCCTAAGTGAGTTAATCCAGGAATTGCTGCAGTTTGCCCCAGGAGAGTACAAACTGCAAAACCTGGTGCTGTCTAAACAGCAGTTACCCAATGTCACCATCAGCTATTGACTGCTTTAGCTAAGAACAGCTGGTAAATCATATCGTCAGGATCAGGCGGGTATCTGGATTCACGGACTTGGAGACCGAGTCGCTCTCTCACGTACCCAACCCTCTCTGACCCCAAAGCCACTGCTCGCTCCAGCAAGATACAGAGGAAACACTAGTAAGTCCTTCTCGGCACAGGATGTTTCTCCCACATAAAAGTGTGAGTGATTTAAGAGATCTGAGCTTCCCTGTCTCAGGTACAAAAACATCCACATTTGCTCTCCAACAACCTGATTTTTACATGTTTATGTGCGATCCACACTAACTACAAAAGTGAAGCCTGACAAGTCATGCTGGAGCTGCTATCTTTAGGGCAACTCCTCACTCCTCCAGCGCAGTTCCAGAGGTTGCACGCTTCATCTGAACTCGCTTTCCAAGAAGCCGTCTACACATTAACTGTATCTGCAGTCTCCAGTTTATGGCCACAGATGTATCCTGATTGTCCCTGCATGTAATCTTTCCGTGCTTCCTTTAAGAAAAGATTTAAATTAGTTTCTGATGCAGTGTCTACCAAGAAATCCCAGTCGAACTGGGAGTTTTATCTCAGATTTTCCTCTTTACAAAACTAACATTTTGTTTTCTTTATCTGTCCATCCCCTATTTTGCAAAGGGAGGACATTTTAATCCTGTGGCAGACCTCAGAAACAGACTACCTCGCATCCTGAGACAGACAGGGTGACCGAGGAAGAAGGGTAGCCTGACTGAGGCCTTAAACATTACAAGCAGTGAATCCGAGACCAACGTTTAAGATTAATAGGCCCATGTTTAATTATCTAAACAGGAAACCAGCAGGCATTCAAACACTTGGACCGAATAAAGATAATGAGACCTGATTCTTCACAGATAGAATCCTCAAGGTTTTCTTTGTCTGCGTGACAAGGCAGACAGAGTGAAGCAGTGACTGTGACAGAGCACCCTCTGACCATCTTCAGGAGCCCCTTCCAGGCCCAGCAGCCAGGTTCTTTGCCTCTCCACTCCCTCCTGACCCCAAGTCCCTCTAGGCAAGTCCACTTCTGGTTACCAGACATCCAGAAATGCATCCATGCAAAAGACGGCATGCTTTTAATGTGGGCTCCATATGTGAGCCCAAACTCTTGGGTATTTGAAGGACATGGATTATTCACTTCTTTATTGCCATTTTGAGAACATTCTGGGTTTTATCCTAATGACATCTGCCAAGATTTGTTTGCAGCACTTTGTCATCAGCTCTGACCTGGAAGCACTTGGGGTCCCTCTGGATGAGGGATACTAGGTAGTTAGTTTAGTCATTTTTTTATTTTAATACCAGTGCGAGATTTAGCGTGTGCGTGCCATGCTGTATTTCTGCAAGGAGAAAGCACCGTCTTTAATGATTGTATCACAGTTCTCCACCTTCCCAATGAAGTACAGGAGGTTTCAATCCCGTGGTGACATTAAATGGCACAAACATGAACCTATGCTTCTAAAAACTGACATTTATATTTGGCAAATAAACCCTACTTCACGGTCTTCCCTGCTATATCAAGACAAAACAGGAACAAAGCTGTTTCGGTCAGGTTTGATACGATCTTGCTGAAGTACGTAAATCAGTCAGCAACATGTACTACTGCCAGAGATCCTTACCTTCAACCTGATTTGAATTCTGTCCTCAGTAACATCAAGCACTTCAATTAATGGCTGACTTTCCAGTGCTGATTGGGAGCAAAAGGAAGGGCATAAAACAGTGCCTAGAAATCCATCAACGTTTTCTTCACTGACAAACAATCTTTCCTAAAGAAAAGAAAGAGCAGGTTATGTTCTTTTCATACAATACTTCAGCGATACTGGAACAAGAAACCCACCCCAAACCAAGCCAGGACACAGGTTCACAACATGGGGTTCGCGGCATGCTCACATCTCAATAGCAAGATTCTACGTCAGACATTCAGAAGTAATGAGGTGAAATGAATTGAAGACCAGTGCTTAGCTCATTTCAATTTAAAGTACAGATCTGCATCATACACAAAGATAAAAGAAACGTTTTCTCTCTTTCGATACATGACTAATATATAGATTTAGACTTCCTCCGAGGAATGATTTGCACCAACATCCTTCCACCATCCTCACCTGTCTTCACATCAGGAAGGTATTATGCTTTTATGGATTTGTTTCAGTGTCTTACTTTAGGAAAATGCAAACACCTCCTTGGACTGTCATTGCAGGATCTTTGAACCCTCAGGCTTCAAGATCAGACCTTCTCAAGCGAAAGCTATGAAACATGCATGACTATATCCATTTCACATCCCTCCACGGAGCCTTCTCGGATCTCCAGTTAGGCAAGCGTAAGCGCCAGTTGGAAGAAACAGAGAGGTGTCCAAAGTTAAAGATGACAGTCTGGGACATGTTTTGAGGCCGTTAATATGCAGTTCACAAACAACGTGCAACACGTTGCTACAGGTTTTAAGATTTAAATCAGTTACAGGTAATTAAAGGTCCTAATATATATATATCCTGGAGGGGCTGTTTCATAAGAACTACAGAGCTTTCCCTGTCCTCATATTCTTTCTAAATCATCTGCTGTAGGCTGCAGGTAAGGACGCACTTTGGCACAATAAAAACGGTCTATCCTAGAGGACTATTCTTAGGTTCTGTGAATTACCTTTCCTGTTTAACAATGAACTGTTTAATTGGAAATACCAGGGAAGAGTTGCAAACCTCCTACTTTAAGTCACACTTTTAAATGTCTCGGTCCAGTTCTACCCGTTTCTCAACCCAATGAAAGTTAAATTCAATTATCACTGACATCTTGCGGACTGAGAAGCAAAAAGGCAATTCTGCACAATTTTGGCTCCCTGTGGATATAGCCTTATGCACAGCCAGATGCCGCACTGTGTCTAAGGTACAAAATTTAACTACCATCCTAAAAACATAATTCTGTATGGGAAAATAAAACAGCGTCCTATTTTTTCACTATTTAAATTAGAAATCACAATATGGAAAGTCATAACATACCTATTGCTGCTTTTCAAAACCAGAGGATTGAATTAATTTTCTATCCAGAAAGATTACAATCCAGGCAAACATCCAACATCGGATGCTGAGGCAGTGTGTGAAAAGATTAAACTACAGCAGGGTTGCCCTGACAGAAAACGCTGCAGTAACACACATACTTCTTTCAGTTTTGTATACAAAGCCTAAAGTACTTATTCCCTCGTGTTGCATCCTTTCTTGCCTGCCAGAGAGGGACCCTGCTGGTGCTTTAGGCTTGTAGAAATATTCTGCAGAGTTCAAGTGAAGGTGTCACAGTAAAGAAACAAGGCAGGGAGTACAGACACAAAATCTGTGCAGCACTGAAACTCCCACAAGCTCACGAACTAGATCACTGGCAAGGCCTTGGGCAGCGCAGGACATACATTTCCACCTCCGCAAGTATCGCTTTGCCCACGCATCACAGACAGAACAGCTCAGCTTCCCTTCCGCAGGGTTTTCGGCACTCTATCGAGCACGATGGCGGATCAGCCCGTCCTGGTATCCTGCCTTCACTTCGAAGGCAAGTGCAGCAAAGCACTCTCTGCTCCAGCACCACCACTCTCCTTACCCAGCGGAGAAATTTAAGTCACCTGCCAGTAATTCACCTTTAGCTGACACCTCCACTCCTTCGCACTCCACCTTTTCATTTTAAGAGCAAGCACATTCTCCTAAAAGCTGGAGACTTGTAATTTGAGTGAGAATTAAATAAAAAAAGAAAAAGAGACAAGTGTTTGTTACTGGTTTTCCTCCAAAATAACTGCTACAAGGCCTCCACATCTGCTTTCTCCCGGACTGCTGCGACTGTGAGAACGTCTCTTTGCCTCCATTTTTCCTATATAAAATGGGGAAAACAATCTTTTTTCCCCCTGAGCCTGCATTTATTTTGTCTAGTTAGAGCTTAAGCCTTTTGTGAAAAGACACTCTTACTGTGCATTTGTGCTCTCAACAAAGTTGATACCTGACCTTGCTCATGTCCATAAGCAGTGTAACAATAAAAACCAATCACAGGTACAGGAATCGGGAGAGGAGATGCTTGAAAAGCCAATAGGTAATGAAAAGCTCTCTGTTAGGTCTAAATATAGCAAATTGCATCCATAGATCGCTTTGTCTGAAGCGACTTTAATCACAGGGTCACTTGCAGATGCTCCAGAGCCATCGCCTCCAAAGTGTGCACAGTGTAGAAAGAGCAGCAGCAGCCAAGGGAGCGTTCTGCAGCGGGGCTCAGCACCTGGCGGCCCAGGAAACGCAGAACGGCTTCATGGCAGCATTTCTGAAATAGCAGGAGATGGTCTACATGCACCAAAGCAAAGATACAACGAAGAAAACCGGGAGGACCCTTCGGAGCTCCGTATAGAAACTGCCTCCCCAGGTCAGGGGTGCGAGTGCTAGCGCCGCCCATGAACAATGGCTACGAGACGAACGTGA